AATCCTGCTGGGATGCCTTAGGTGGGGAGACTGGATACATTTTTATGAATAATGCCGAAACAGCGTTGTCTATAAATAGGCCATAAACCTGAGGATGCTGCCGAATACCCGCCACTCGTCCGCATCTCGACATTAATCTCAAGTGTTTAACAATTAACGTGATGGGTCGGGCCAGGCCGACTTTTGGGCAACACTCATCAACATTGGCGCGGATTCGCCTTTATGACAGCGTAATTAGCGCAAGTTGCCGTTGCTCTCCGCCTATTTATGGTTTGCTTTACGCTAAGTGACAGCTAATGGAGTCGAAGACCATAAAAAGGTGGCCACTGGCCACTGGCCAGAAGCCGGGCCATACGCCGGCAATTTATTGGCCCGGCTTTCAGGCTGATTGGCTTGACTTTCACTGTGACTTTGGCCACGGGATCCACGAAAAATTGCAGTGCTCCCTATCTCAATCCTTATCTTTATATCTGCATCTTTATGCCGATGACGAAGGCGAAGACGAAGCCATGACAATGCGGGGGATCCAATCAATTGAACTGCTCAGAACTCGGCGGGAAACTTTGTGATCGAAAGATTATATCGGCTGCATTATGTAAATTGTGTGTACGCGCAAAAGCAATTTGCAACTTTAATTGCATTTCGATGGACTGCAGCAACTTTTCCACCCGCCGCCCCAGTTAACAATGGAAACTGCCAAGAGTACAGCTGGAAAGCACCCTGCCAGTTTTTCCACGGGAAAAACACACACGCATGTGAACTTAATTATGTTAAAGTTCTGGGTTGCGATTGCGACCTGGACTTGTGCCGATAAGGCTCGAAAATGCTCAATTAAATAAAATGAAACTTTGTGGCATACATATCTTCCGGGGCAGGCGTGCTGGCTAAATTATGGCTTCATTTTTAATGCCCCTCCGGACCCAGTAAATGTGTGAATATTTTAAGTAATGTGCGCCCAAAGTTGAGGCAGCCTTTTGGGTTAACACAAATGCTCCTTGATGGTACATGTGCGGTGCCATCTGTGAACTGAAACTTACTTTTGATGGAGGAACAAGTTTATGATGGCCATTTAATGGCGGAGAGCTGAGGTCAGATCTGGCCAACGGAAATCCCCTTCAACTTGACTCGTCTATAAGCATCTTCAGCCAGTCGACATTTCGGATTCAATTGTTGACATCATTCCACACGCCACAAGCCACATGCCACATGCCACATGGCGCTTGGCGTATGCCTATGCAAATGATATATAACGTATACGCCACGTGCGACATGTGTTGATTGCATTTGAACGCAACGAGCTCCAGCGTACCGCGGCTTTGATAAACGGAACCGGATCCCATATGCACCCACAATCTGCTACAGTTTGTACCCTCCCTCCTGCTTTATGGTGCTCGTGGCCAATTTATTTACCGTCCGGCCACAATTTTTACCGTTTACCTTTATTTTTTGGCAACAATGGGGGAGAGCAAAAAAACAAGAAGAAATAACTTCCTAACTAGCCCTAACTGAGAGTAAAAGCGCAGCACGTCGCATTTATTTCGTTTACCCGCCTGGAATGCGACGAATAAATTGTGTGGCTTCTGTTATATTATGGAATTTCCAATGCAATTCTTCTCTTTTTCTCTAATATTTTTTGTTGCCTGCAAACCTTTTTCGAATGCTCCTTTTCTCGTTTTTTCGGGTGCCTCTACTGCTGAGTTGCTGGTAAATAACAACGCTTGGCTGACCAAGCCTGGTGGCTAACCCACACAAACATTCAAATGCACTGTAGTTGTGTTTGTGGCTACAAACTACAATTATGGTCAAAATAATAGTAATTTTTAAATTATTTGGTTTTAAAATTCGCAACGAAAGCGGTGATGTTACGGTTTATGCTTATTGACGAAGTAGAATCTTGAAAATGTATCTTAACAGTGTGAACTATGAGGGTGTGCTATACTATAAACTGACCCCTTTAAATTATTTTACATAAGGCAGCCTAAAACATTACTCATGCTACTGTGCCTTGCTGGCTCAACAAATTCAGGAATCGTTTAAAATAAATCAACGTTTGGCTATTCATCAAGAAGCAAAAAATGTTGTTTTATTTCGCCGCAACTGTTTTCACATAATATGTGTAGAAAGCCGCATGTACAGCAGACACAGCTACGAGTGAACGCGCCGCAATTTAAATTTTGAGTCGAGCACATGAATATTTAAATGCATAAAATGAAAAAGCACAAATGCAAATACGAGCATGAAGAGCACTCATCTGTGTTCACATGAGGAGAGTGCCTGTGTGTATCTGAGTATCTGTGCATCTGTGCATCTGTGTATCTCAGAGTTTGTGAATGCAGCAGACAGTTGGCGTTAAGTATGCGCTTTCCTATAGCTTTCCCTGCAGCTGTAGCGTGTGTGCGGGAAACCTTGGCCTTGCCAGAGCACTGCAGAGGAATTAACCACACACGAGCTGAGTTCACAGTTCATATAGAAATGCGGATAATGGGAAATCCCTGCCATTGAGGAATCGCATCAAAGGGAGCTTGCAACAAATCAGGAGCATCGCCTTCCTTGCCCTCCGGCCTTCCAGCCTTCCAGCCTTCCAGCTCAAACAGAACATAACTGAACAGCTGCAGCGGCTTATTACGCACACACGCGACCCGCTTGGTTATCTTTGTCCCGGCAGTTATTGCGTTTTGTTATTGTTCGGGGAAACTATGCAAATTGCCTGAAAATTCAACCGCACAACTTCTCGTCCTGAATGCGGTAGGGCTGCGGGGGCAGCGAAAGGAAAATCCCAGACGGAGTGCATATGGCTAAGGCTCACACTGAGCCACCGCAGGATGTCGTCTTCAGCCGCGCCCCAGTATACGTCTTAGTCCTGCCACTCGCTGCGTAATTGCACAATTTTGCACTTGGGCAAACATGCACTTGCCAATCGTAGCAGCAGGAGCAGGACCAGGACCAGGACCAGGGGACTACCTCCCTTCCGCTCTCCTTTCCCCAGCTCAGTCATAAAGATGAGCCTCACACTCGGGGAAATCCTCGGGAAAATCGTTATATACTGGAAAAACTGTGACTCTTATTAAATGTTTGTTGCATTTAAAATTAATTTTAAAACCCGAAAAGAAAGTTAATTTCGGTATGTAGAAGTATGCATACCCTTGTACAAAATATCTGCATATATCATACAACTAAATTATTGAATATACTATAAATTAAAATCAACTAAGTAATTTTTACATATATACCTATACATTTTATATTTACAGTTTTACAGTTACAATTTTACTTATTCTTCAACATTTAGCAATAATAGACATCCGGTTTAAAGAAAATTAAAGCGAAAATTCTGAAATAATAGAAAAGTGATTGAATAGGATTGAATAGAAGAAAATATCTTCCGTTGGGAATAATATACTAATGAGAATAGTAAGAATAACAAAGTTGATTTTAGATAGCTTTAAAACGGAGAGATTTTTCGTTGAAACTGACAGACGGACATGGCTAGCTTGAATCGACTTTTGTTACTGAGGAAAAGTATATATGTACATATTATACACACATTATACCGGAAATTACCCTTTACTGCATTGAAAACTTCTAACAAAGTAATAAAAAAAGGTAAGCAAAGAATACTGTGGAGTGCAAAAACTAGTGAAATTTTATTGTTTAATAGCATGTTATGAAAAGAAAGCAACTCAACAGTAAACATCAACATATCTTATTTATTATCTTCAGTAAATCAGACTAGTGCTTATTTCTCTGACGAGCCTGTGCTGCCAAAAATATTAAGTACACTTCCCCTTTCAAGTATATTTTCCCTCCATTGTTCCTATTCACCAATAAAACTTAAGAACAATATATATATTCTCCTCTCTAACTGTTTAGATCACTTAATCAGATTAATAACATTTCAAATCCATGTAATCAAACATATTAAAAATTCGACCTTAAAATAACTTGTCAATACCGGATATATTTTTTAACCTGACTTTAACCACCCTAACTAGGCATATATGATAAAATAAAAATATTCTAAAACCAACTACCCCAGCTAGATCTTAAATTTATTTACTTGTTAGTTATTTTTAAATAAATTAAAATAAATAAAATAACTTTAAGCATTATTACAAACGAATTTTATATTAACAGTTTATAAAGTGCTATTACACTTGGACTATGCTATTACAATATTTCTCGTCCGATCGATATAAACGAATTGGTTTTACTTCTTAAATTGCTAGTTTATACATTTTAATGTTTTATTTAATTATTTTCCGCTCAGTGCAAAGACTTAACATCCCTTCTTCTTTCCCATCTTCTGTACACGTGGCTGTCTTCGAGTTTTGGCAAGTTTTTCCAGCTCACATCTCAGTTAATTAGCGTCTTGTCAGCTGCATTGCTAATTGAGTTGATAGAGAGGAGGAAATGTGGGAGAAGGAAATGAAGAGCCCGCCCAAGGCTGCCGAATCCCACTATCAACCAAAAGGCGTTTTTAAATATATTGCGCCCAGAAAATAAAATCTCATTTTCACCTGAGAGTAATTTCATTTGAGGCGCACTCAGTGAAGCTTTGTAATTGTATTAAATTCCTTTGACACCTCTGCGTATGAGCTGTGTCTCATTAGCTTCCATGAAAATGCATGCTTTTACGGGTCGTGTTTGTTCGCTCGACAATAAATTATTTTGCAGAGCCGTGAGACCACTTCAGGAGTCTGCACATTGGCATGAAAATGCAGGAAAATCTATTGGCAGAATAGTGCAGTTTATGGACTCGGCATTACGCATGATCTATGAACCATTTGCCTGCGGATATTAGTCAGTTTTATGGAGTCCCAAAGGACGCTGCCGAGGTGTGGCTTGTACATGTGGCTTTGCCTTCTGAGGGTCATAATAAATCAAGTTCATTTATCCAACGTAAAAAGCCATTGTGTATCGGAAAATGGTTTGCATCGAGGTCGTAGTGCTTTGGAAAAATACCTTTTGGGGAACTCACCTGTGCTTTACTACTACTTGACATTTCCGTCACGACAGAGCTGAAAACCCAGACACATCTGGAAAATTATCATAGCATAATCCATACCTTCATATATATATTTTTCGATTAGTCAGATCTGAAGTCTCGCCACGATGCAGAACTCGGGTCGCGGAGCGGACCACTTCAACTTTATCCAGCGAACGGATCGAAAGAGTCTCCACACTCAGATTGGGCTCCTGGTGGCCAAGGCGAAGCAGGTGACCGCCGAAGAGCTGCTGGAGCGCAGCCAGAGGTTGAAGAAGATGCTCGACGAGGAGGACAAGCGCTACGAGGAGGAGTTCTCCAATACCGTAAAGACACGCATGAATGAGCGCAAGGAGCACGTGAACGCCATCCAGGAGCAGGTGGCCAAGCAGCAGAAGAAGTTCCTAGAGGAGAAGCACCTCCAGAGGATGATGCTGGACTGCTATGAGGTTCGGGAGGCTATGCGCCACCAGGACCTCATAGAGACTAAGATAGTCCAGGAGGAGCAGATCCTCGAGAATCAGCGAAAGAAGCGGCGAGAGTGCCAGCTGGAGCAGTACTGGTCCGAGCTTAATCGCCGGCGGTGGGCCCAGTTCGACTGCGACCACGCGAACGAGGTCCTGAGGCGTCAACAGGTGCAGAAACAGGTGAACCACGTCCTGGGCATGCAAGTGGCTGAGCACGAGGAGAAGCGCAAGGAGGCCGATGCGGAGAAGATGGAGGAGGAGCGCGTCATAAACGCTCTGCTGGAGGAGATCCGCCTGGAGGAGTTCGAGAAGGAGCACCAGCCTGCCCCTGTGGACCAGCTGGCCTACCAGGCCGAGCTCCTCAAGGAGATTCAGCGGAAGCATTGCGCTCGCCTGGCGGAGTGGGAGGCGGACAAGGCGGATCACCGGGCCTTCTGTCTCGAAACCCAGCGCCTGGAGGCTGAGGCTCTTGAAAGGATTGCCCAGTCCAAGAAGGACCTCAACAGAGCCACCTTGGAGTACCTGGCTTATCTGCGCCGCATGCAGTCTCTGGAGCTAGGCATCGAGAAGATGATGGACGAGCGCACCGCCGACCTCTACCAGGTGGATGTCTGCACCAAGGTCAACATCGCCGAAAGGATTCGAGTGAAGCGCGAGGCGGCCGACAAGTGCTACGAAATCCTGCGGAAGCAAGTGTGCGATGACTATGAAAGGAGGCTTCTCTGGGATGCTGAGCTGCGTGAGAACAAAATGCCAGAGAATCGCTTCGTTCATCCGGAGGTCACCCACGAGATGATCATATGCCGAAAGCTTCGCTACAAGGCCGACCTCGACGCCCAGATCACGGAGATGAAGCGCATCCAGGCGGAGGAGGAAAAGAAGTTCGACAGCCGCCTAATGGCGGCCATAGACGATCCTGTGGTGTGCAAGCAACTGGCCAAGGAGATCCTGGACAGCGGCGTCGACTACCTGGCTCCACATCCCAACTGGCGGGTGCTGGCCTGTAATCCAAAGCAATATATTCCCAGAGCCCCCACGACGGAGCAAGAGTTCAACGCTCGAGTGGCCGGCGCCAGTTTGGAAAATTGTCCTTGTCCCAAGGAGGCGAAGAAGCACTGCGGATTCATGGCTGACATCGCTAAATGCGACGTTCCTCCCGAGGGCCCAAAGCCCAAAGCGATGAAATCAACCATTGAGTCGTCTCCCGTGGCTCAAAAGTCCGGCTTTAGGAATTGTCATTGCAAGTTCTACTAGTGCAGGTTCGCTGTAAGGAACTTACAGCGATCTAAAATTGTTTAAATGTTATAGTCTTGAGGCAATTTAAACGAAATAAAATTAACGCTGCAAGATAATATTTATTTATTTATTTACGAAGAATAACCAATGTCTTTCTTAATAAGCCGAACGCTTACCTCCGTATCCTTCATCTTTAAATCCTTTTCAAAAGCTTAAGAGTGATTTTAGTATGAATATTTTAAGATGCTGAGAGGCTAAAGTCGAATAGATCATCGCTCACATCGTTGTTACTGAACAAAAAATAATGTATTAAATTAAAGTCTGAAGCTATAATATTACTTTCCCGTTTAAATAAACTGAGCTGTTATCCGCATCCTATCTCTCCTCTTAAGAAGCCCCGCGGACTCTTTGTATCGCATTAAATTATATCCACAATCCTGTTCCATATCCACCTCTTGTTACAATAAGTTCAGACTGGATAAGCAAACCACATACAAGACCCCATGAAAATGCTCATTATGAACCCAGAAAGGGCGGTAAAATGGCACTGGGGGTGCATCGTGCAACAACCAGGACACACATGACACCATCGCTTTACGTGCCACAAAAACGCAATTTAATTTCAACATCCGACAGTGTCCCTTCCTCTTGCTCTCCGCCTCTCACTCGCCCTTACTCAATGCTTTTTTTTCGTTCTATTTTCCAGATGACAATTGGGGCCTAGGACTGGCCATAGCGGCCAACTTGCATGTGCCGTATCGCATCGAAATTGGCAGCACAATACGTGACCTGCATGGAGAGGATAAGCCGGGCAAAGGTGAGTAGCGCGTCTCCTGGCCACTGGATCCACTGCACCTCGGTGCAACGAAGAGAAATATTTAATTATTTCATTAAGACAAAATATACAAATATCACTTGAAAACACTTACTTTATATAATGTGAAGAAAATATTCAAACTTTTGCTCTGTGTGTCCATTGGTTTCGACTCTCAGCAATTATCATCACGGCGCCGCTGAACGATGCGAGCAATCTACGGCTCCTCTCCAGCATCGGACCCGAGTGGGCGCGTCAGGAGCTGGAGCAGGAGCAGGAGCAGGAGATGGTGGAGGCCCCGGGACGGTGGAGGCAGCACACCAAAATACTGCTCATCGACATGGTGGCCAGCTCATTGGATGTCGAGCATCGGTTCTACAAATATTTGACACGCATTGGGCGGGCGGAGAGGCAGAGGCAGAGGCAGAGGCACGGTAGAGGACATGGGCACTCCGGCCGGAATACCAGCTCCCAGTCCGCAATGGTGAGCAGCAATCTGTTGGTGCTGACTCTGCTAAGCGACAGACATCGACACTTTCTGAATGCGGCCGGTTTGATGGCAGCAATGCAGAATTTTCGCACGCCCAATGGCACCGGGGAGAACGGGAGCCACGCGGAACCATCGACCACTGGTCGTCACAATGCCAGTCTGGACAAGCTCTACCCGTACCGTAACCTCGTCCCCCTGTACGACCTGGTTGTGACCACGGCCACGCAATCGGATCGAGCGGAAGCAATTCCCAAATATGATTTCGTCGTGCTGGACATCGTTAGGGATGTCCCGCTGGCCACCTACAAGTGGCGACCCCTGCTCATCCTGGAGAGCGACAGGCGGGGCTGGGAGAACGGGTCTGTGGGAGGTGGAGCCGCTGGCTCCTACATAACCCACTCCGTGCAACCCGGCTACGATGAGTGGCTGCTGGTCAGCAGTGTCCAGTTGTGGCAGTGCGGAGCCATCTGCTGGACCATCGTGGCCATCTGCGTGGGCCTCCTGGTCATCATTGTGGCGGCCAGTGTGGCAGCTGGAATTGCCATGAGGTGAGTGTTTTACAAACTGGATACGAAATAAACGGTTCGATTTAGTTTCTTTTTCTAACACTACTTTGGGGACTACTAAACATTTTGCAATGCTTAAAGAATTCAATTAATTCCTAAACAAAATTTATGATTCCTTTAAAGTTGGTTCCTGTGCCTTAAGGCTCAAATTCTAGGGACTTTGTGAGTTGAAACCCTCCAATCGCCCACCACTTCGCATTTAAAATTCAAGATGAAACAACTGTTGTTGCGTAATTAAGATTCCCTTCGGTCTTCCTATTTTCCGTGGAGCTCCAAACTTTTCTATCGCCTTCAAATATTCAATTAGCACGCCCAAACGAAAGGCTGTCGCTCGTTCATCTTTCTGTAAATCCTTGCCCCACGCAATGGCCCCAATATCCTTGGATCGGGATCGGATTGGGCATAACGTATTTCTGCGCGTGGCAATTTCCGTTTCCCTTTTTTTCCTAGCCACTGCTAATTGCTGTGCCAGTTGTACTAGTTTGTTGTGCGAGCACAAAATGTAATTTTGATTTTAATTGTATTTGAGCAGATGATGCAATGTCTGAATATTGGCGGAAAATTGTTTAGGTGAAAATGAAAACAAAACGGCGAGGGAAGCGAAAAGAATTTCCCATCTCTTAATCAATTCCGATTGATATTTTTGAATCACTTAACCCACTTAGTATTTAGCTAATTATTAGCGCACACTTGTAATAATTTATTCAGGCCAAAGTCAACCGCTCAGCGGGCATCAAAGCTGGCCATATATAAAGTATCAATTTATGTCAGATTTTAGTCTGCGGGATGTGGAAACCATGCGTGGAAAATCAATACTCGACCGCACACTCAACTCCCACTATTCAGACCCATTCAAGCCCGCACATTGGTCGTGCTATTAAAACAAGCATTTAATTAATTAATTACATTCATCAAGGCATGACACACACCCAGACATTTGACATTTATAAAGAAAAACAGCGTCAAGTGCGGTTGAACAAATCATTTACTGCTCGACATGCCGTCAGAACATTTCCTGTGGCCAACACTCACTCAGACCCACGATTCAGAGCAACCCCCCATTAATCGCAGCACAAATAGTCCGATTTAAGCTAGTTAACATCGCTGGCAACTTTAAACCGCGACTAACCGAGCGCTTTTTTCCATCGCCAGCTAAAATGCAACTCATGAAGTTTTAATTAGCGAGAGCGACACGAAACAAAACGGGGCAAAAAACAAGGATACTACAACAAATGGACAACAAGGCCGGGAAGGACACACCTGTGCGGGAAAAGGAGAAAAGCCCTGCCAAGGCGAAAATAAAAAAGTTACTCTACTATAACGATGCTTAAATACCCTGGGGTGTTCCATTTGAAAAAGTGCTGGGATAATCCGCGGCACACAAAATGGAAAAAACAAAAGTATAAGCGTTGGTGTTAAGGGAAATTTCTAAAAATTGTGTGTACATTTTCAATATAAAAAAAAAATTGTAAACGGGTTTGAAGTAATGAGGAAGGAAAAGATGGATTCAATGTGGTCTAATTAAAATTTTCTTACTTCTGCATTGAATCTTTTTAATAATTTTATAGAAAAACTATTGATTAACGAAGAAAATAACATTCGAATTGAGTTATCTTATTATATTGACAAAATTTTAAGTGTATGACTTGAAATAATTAACTAATGATAGTTATTAAAATTTTTGTTAAAGACTTAATCTGGGTAAAGATTCTCTTGAAAACTTTGAATGTAAATGGTTCAATTAATAAATAATAAAACACTTATATAATGTACTTTCTTTTGTATTTCAAAAAAATAATAAGATTAATAAAATAAGCGCATTGATCAAATTTAAGTTCTGATTTACCTTAATAGACGTGACTTCTGTTAATTTCTGAAGTATTGTCAATACCCTAGACCAAGTTAAAGTTTCCCCCAGTTACGCCGAAAAGTTCGGCCATTCATGAGACTGGGATTTCCTCTGTCTGATTTTTTGGGTGGGCGGAGCTGGAAATCTAGTTAACAAGCGACACACGTGGCTCAAAGAGTTTTCCCGCTGAAACAGGGAGCAGCCCATTAATGCCCTTAATACACTTAACCCGACTTGACTCCGGCCACGTGGCGAACTTCTGGCATAACAATTGCTGCATGAATTTGCGGTTTCGCAGGCTCCTCCTATTTTTCCAAGGCTTCTGGCCAAGAGACCAGGCCAATTCGAGGTGATGGGTGCGAGTAAGCACCAGGTAGTGGTAAAAAGTTTTATAGTCCCAACCGCAACGACACGAGGGTCGTACTTTGGGGCTAGTGGGTTGAGGGTTAGAGCTCCTAGGTTAATGGATGCAAATTGCATTGGTCGAAAATGAGGGATCACGGAAGTGCCTAATGGTATACCGTAGACAGTTGTGCCCAGTTTTGAAAAGGTTTAAGTTTTAAGCACCTGGCTGGCTTTAGATAACTCGTTAAGTCAATTCAAAAAGATATTAATTATTAAACTAACCATGAGTTATTCTTACCTTCATAAAAACAAAAGTTATGTTTTCATTTTAAAATGTAATTAATTAATTTGTTTAGAAACTATTTCCTGCGAAAACGGCTCTCCAAGGGACCCAACAAGATAGTGCTCTCCGCGAGTGACTTTGTATTCCCCGTCGACTCTCGTAGGGTAAGCCCTTAACCACCAAACCGAATTTGCTCTCTTGTTTCTATATACATATGTACTAATTTCCCTTCTTTTAAGGTTGACGAGGGCATCGAGGCCATGCTCTGCTGTTGGCTCCAACAGCTGCAGGAGTTCGGTGGCCCGGAGGTGGATAAGCCGGATCTGCTGAAGGGCTCCATAGGCTCCCTGAAGAATCTGGGATTTGTGATACCAGGAGCAGCTGCTCCAGGTAATTCGGGTGGAACCACCGCAGCCACTGTGAATGGGAAGAGTATGTCCTCCGCCACGGGCAGCCTGGCCAGGCACAATCCCGCCCATCTGGACATGAGGGCGCGATACAACGGCGACCTCGTGCAACTCAAGGAAGTGCACATGAACGGATCCGCGGAGCTGCGAGCCAAGGCGATGGATCTCCTCGTGATGGCCCATGGTCTGAGGCACGAAAATATCAATCCGTTAATCGGCTGGCTGTCAGATCCCAACCGCACGGCCATGGTCTTCGATTACTGCTCGCGGGGATCCCTGCAGGACGTGTTGATCATGGATGAAATCAAGCTGGACTGGTCATTCCGGCTGAGCTTACTCACGGATCTGGTGAGGGGCATGCG